CACACCTTAGCCAGTTGCGGCGGCCTCCGCAGGTGCGGACGACTGCGCGGCCTTTTGCGCCAGACGCCAGACGTGGCTGATAGATTCTCGCTCCTGTGGGCAGTTCTCCGCATCCCGGGTAGAGCGAGCTCCCGAGGTGCTACCCGCTGCGCGCATTGGACTCCAAGTCGATACGAGCGCGCCGCGCGTGGAGCACGCGGCGCGCTCGCATCGATTCGCCACTTCCAGCGTGAGGTCGTGTGTACATAGCTTCAAAGGAGGACCAAAAGGGATCTCTCTCCGTTCTACTAATGCCCTCAAAACAGGGACCTTTGGCAAAGGGGCTGGGAATGCTGCGCCGTCTCGCCCCGCCACCCCCCGCGCCGCCCGCGCCCGTCCGCCGTTCGACGACCAATGGCCATTCATCGGGACGCGGGGGCTCTCTCGGCTACGGACGGCCTACGGGACCGGCCCCAGCTTCGGCTGAGGGCTGAGGTAGTGGTAGTGGTAGAGCCCGACAAGCTGCCGAGCCCGAGGAAGGAGGTGGGGTCCTCACCCGCCGTCACCCCGGCGGCCCGCGCACGCACGCCGTCTGAGCCTAACGCAGCGCGAACTCGCTCTGAGCCTAGCGCAGCGCGAGATTTGCGCAGCAACCCGGCCGGGCAACCCTTGCAAAAGTTATTCTTCTTTCTGGCGGCATGAGCGGCGCCCTCCCAACCCAGCTCGCCGACCTGGCTCGGGGCGACCTGGCCTGGCTGCGCGGCTTCCTGTCTGGGCAGGGGACGCGCGGCACGTCGCTCGCGGCCCAGCTCGACGCGCGGCACGACACCGAGAAGCAGGACACGCTGCTCACCTGGGCCGCTCGGCACGGGCAAGCCGAGGCGGCGCTGCTGCTGCTCGAGGGCGGCGCGAGCGTGGGGGCGACGAATGGCGGCGGCGCTTCAGCGCTGCTCGTCGCTAGCGACAAGGGCCACCTCGAGTGCGCCCGGCTGCTCCTCGAGGTTGGCGCGGCGACCGACCAAGCAATGAACGATGGCACCACGCCGCTGAGTGCTGCGAGTTTGGCTGGCGAGATCGGCTGCGTTCGGCTGCTCCTCGAGGCTGGCGCCGCGGTCAACCAAGCAGACGCTGAAGGCTTCACGCCGCTGTTCGTTGCGTGCCAGAAGGGCCACCTCGAGATCGCCCGGCTGCTGCGCGACGCTGGCGCGGCGGTCAACCAAGCCCCGCAGAACGGCGCCACGCCGCTGTACATGGCGTGCCAGAAGGGCCACCTCGAGATCGCCCGGCTGCTCCGCGAGGCTGGCGCGGCGACCGACCAAGCGATGAACGATGGCACCACGCCGCTGTTCGTTGCGTGCCAGAAGGGCCAGCTCGAGTGCGTTCGGCTGCTGCGCGACGCTGGCGCTGACATCAACCAAGCGATGAACGGCGGCGCCACGCCACTGTTCATTGCGTGCCAGCAGGGTCACGGCGAGTGCGCCCGGCTGCTCCTCGAGGCTGGCGCGGCGGTCAACCAAGCCGATGAGCAAGGCGCCACGCCGCTGTTCGCAGCGTGCCACCAGGGCCACCTCGAGGTCGCCCGGCTGCTCCGCGAGGCTGGCGCGGCGACCGACCAAGCGATGAACGATGGCACCACGCCGCTGTTCGTTGCGTGCCAGAACGGCCAGCTCGAGTGCGTTCGGCTGCTGCGCGACGCTCGCGCTGACATCAACCAAGCGATGAACGGCGGCGCCACGCCACTGTTCATTGCGTGCCAGCAGGGTCACGGCGAGTGCGCCCGGCTGCTCCTCGAGGCTGGCGCGGCGGTCAACCAAGCCGATGAGCAAGGCGCCACGCCGCTGTTCGCAGCGTGCCACCAGGGCCACCTCGAGGTCGCCCGGCTGCTCCGCGAGGCTGGCGCGGCGACCGACCAAGCGATGAACGATGGCACCACGCCGCTGTTTGTTGCGTGCCAGAAGGGCCAGCTCGAGTGCGTTCGGCTGCTGCGCGACGCTGGCGCTGACATCAACCAAGCGATGAACGGCGGCGCCACGCCACTGTTCATTGCGTGCCAGCAGGGTCACGGCGAGTGCGCCCGGCTGCTCCTCGAGGCTGGCGCAGCGGTCAACCAAGCCGAGCAGGATGGCGCCACGCCGCTGTTCGCGGCGTGCCACTTCGGCCACCTCGAGGTCGCCAAGCTCCTCTCCTCCTACGGCGCCTCCCGCGCCGCTACGCCCTTCGGCACGCCCGAGGAGGCCGCAAACAGCCAAGGCCACGCCGACCTCGCCGCCTGGCTGGTCGCCAGCCGCGGCTGGACGCCGCTCCAGCATCTCGAGGCGTGCCCGAGACTAGCGGCCGAAGGCGTGAGCGCGCTGTCCTCACGCCCATTGCCCCTCTTCCGCAGGCGCTCACCGTCGAGCGGGCGCGGGCGCTGCTGCGCGGCGGCGCCGACCCGCTCGCCGGCGCGCCTTCTGCCCTCGAGCGGGCGCGCGTCCTTTGCTCGTGGAGCGAGTCGGATCCGACCGCTGCGGCCGTCGGTTCCACAGTCGAGATCCGCTCTCTCGTCTCGCGGCCCTCGATGAACGGCAAGCTCGGCGTCGTCGTCTCCGCCAACGCTTCGACCGCCCGCTTCGGCGTGCGCGTGGCGGGCGAGGCCAAGGCACTCGCACTGAGGCGCGCACTGAAATGGTCTCTCCCCGACTCGCCGGATCCTCTCTTTGACACACCTCTGCCCTCCCTCAGGCCGGCCAACCTGCAGCCAGCGGCCGAGGCGGTGGCGGTGGGCAGGCTCATCCTCAAGGCGGCGGAGTGGTCGCCGCAGTCGCACGAGCTCTTCCCAACAGCGGCTCGGCAGCGGGCGGTCGAGGTGATGCGGCTGGGCTACCTGATCGCCTGGGACGAGGAGCGCTTCGACAGCCGCGAGGGAGCGGCTCCGGAGCTGGCGGACATCTGGCGCGGCTTTGTGCTGCCAAGGGTGGTGGTGCGATGACATGATGACTGCTTTGGTCCTGTTTACTTCGTGGCAGCCAACCCCCCAGGATCTCGCTCCTCTTCTCTCTCGCTCTCGCTTGTTGGTGTTGGACTGCATTTGTTTTTTGTGGCTTCTTGTTTGTAAAACTCGAGTTGAAGTCGGCAGTTTCTTCTTCTCTGGCGGCTAGTAGTCTGCACTTGTGACGAAAAACGAAGAAGCACCAAGCGCCAAGCGTGAGGACACGATTTCGAATTCGGAGGTGCACCTAAGCAAAATCGAGCCCGCTCAGGTGAGAAAAATATATATAAGGGTCGAAGTAGGTTTCGAACTGGCGACCTTCACCGCTTGCGGAAAGGGAGCCGGCCAGAGATCGCTTCATGAGTGAGGGAGGTCGGATTTGGCGACCTATATAGCATAAAGGTATCCAGCAAGATCGCTGCGAGTGAGAGGGAGGTCGCTGTTCGAAACCTATATAGCATACCGGGGGAATTAGACACCACAGATACGCACACACCGACGCCCGAAGTGCCAAGAAGGACGTCATTACGTCCGGCCCCGGGCGTCGGGCCGTGGCGGCGACAGCAGGCGTGCTCCAGCGCCGCCTCGTGCGCGCGCACGCGCAGCGCCGGCGCCTCCGCACCACCCGAGTCGCCGCCCGGCCGAGCGAGGAGCAGAGAGACGACGAGAGACATGCTGATTCGGCAATCAGAGTTTTTATTTTTTTCTTCTCTGGCGGCATGAGCGGCGCCATCCTCCCAACCCGGCTCGCCGACCTGGCTCGGGGCGACCTGGCCTGGCTGCGCGGCTTCCTGTCTGGGCAGGGGACACACGCCACGTCGCTCGCGGCCCAGCTCGACGCGCGGCACGACACCGAGAAGCAGGACACGCTGCTGACCTGGGCCGCTTGTCACGGGCAAGCCGAGGCGGCGCGGCTGCTGCTCGAGGGCGGCGCGAGCGTGGGGGCGACGAATGGCGGCGGCGCTTCAGCGCTGCTCGTCGCGAGCGACAAGGGCCACCTCGAGTGCGCCCGGCTGCTCCTCGAGGTTGGCGCGGCGACCGACCAAGCAATGAACGATGGCACCACGCCGCTGAGTGCTGCGAGCTTGGCTGGCGAGATCGGCTGCGTTCGGCTGCTCCTCGAGGCTGGCGCCGCGGTCAACCACGCAGACGCTGAAGGCTTCACGCCGCTGTACGTTGCGTGCCAGGAGGGGCATTTCGAGTGCGCCCAGCTGCTGCGCGACGCTGGCGCGGCGGCCAACCAAGCCTGCAACGACGGCACCACGCCGCTGTTCATGGCGTGCCAGAAGGGCCACGTCGAGATCGCCCAGCTGCTCCTCGAGGCTGGCGCGGCGGTGGCTCATGCAGACGCTGAAGGCTTCACGCCGCTGTACGTCGCGTGCCAGAAGGGCCACCCCGAGATCGCCCGGCTGCTTCTTGAGGCTGGCGCAGCGATAAACCAGGCCACGCAGAATGGTGGCACGCCGCTGTACATGGCGTGCTACAGGGGCCACCTCGAGATCGCCCGGCTGCTGCGCGACGCTGGCGCTGACATCAACCAAGCGATGAACGATGGCGCCACGCCGCTGTTCATGGCGTGCCAGGAGGGCCAGCTCGAGTGCGCCCAGCTGCTCCTCGAGGCTGGCGCGGCGATCGACCAGGCCCAGCAGAACGGCGTCACGCCGCTGTTCGCGGCGTGCCACTTCGGCCACCTCGAGGTCGCCAAGCTCCTCTCCTCCTACGGCGCCTCCCGCGCCGCTACGCCCTTCGGCACGCCCGAGGAGGTTGCAACCGAAGAAGGCCACGCCGACCTCGCCGCCTGGCTGGTCGCCAGCCGCGGCTGGACGCCGCTCCAGCATCTCGAGGCCGTGCCCGAGACTAGCGGCCGAAGGCGTGAGCGCGCTGTCCTCACGCCCATTGTCCCTCTTCCGCAGGCGCTCACCGTCGAGCGGGCGCGGGCACTGCTGCGCGGCGGCGCCGACCCGCTCGCCGGCGCGCCTTCTGCCTTCGAGCGGGCGCGCGTCCTTTGCTCGTGGAGCGAGTCGGATCCGACCGCTGCGGCAGTCGGCTCCACCGTCGCGATCCGCTCTCTCGTCTCGCGGCCCTCGATGAACGGCAAGGTCGGCGTCGTCGTCTCCGCCAACGCTTCGACCGCCCGCTTCGGCGTGCGCGTGGCGGGCGAGGCCAAGGCACTCGCACTGAGGCGCGCACTGCAATGGTCTCTCCCCGACTCGCCGGAGCCTCTCTTTGGACACACCCCACGCCTCTGCCCTCCCTCAGGCCGGCCAACCTGCAGCCAGCGGCCGAGGCGGTGGAGGTGGGCAGGCTCATCCTCAAGGCGGCGGAGTGGTCGCCGCAGTCGCACGAGCTCTTCCCGACAGCGGCTCGCAAGCGGGCGGTCGAGGTGATGCGGCTGGGCTACCTGATCGCCTGGGACGAGGAGCGCTTCGACAGCCGCGAGGGAGCGGCTCCAGAGCTGGCGGACATCTGGCGCGGCTTTGTGCTGCCAAGGGTGGTGGTGCGATGACTTCTCGCGGTTCCGCACTATAATCTAATATCTATAAAGCTGTATGCTCTATTAAACCTTCCTTCTTTTTCACCCCTCACCCGGGTGCGGGCCGCCTCGGCGATATCTCATATAGGTTCTCAGCACTCAAGCTCGCGAGCGGCGATAAATATCCGGACAAAATGTGCGCACACAGGACGACCTTGTCGCACACGGAGCAGCGCGGCCGCAAGCGCAACAGGCCAACACCCCGGTGCAGCAGGCGGCGCCGGCGCCGGTGCGCGGTGGACAGGTGGTCGCTGGGCCCGACGGCGCCAAAAGAGAGGTATAGATCGCAGCGCGCACGTATGTCCACTGTCACAGAGTCCAACGATCAGCCGGTCTGCAAAGAGGCCAGGGCTCGGCCATCTCTCGCCGGGCATGGATTTCCCCGCGCCGCCGCCGCTCGGAGTCCGTTCCCCCGCCTCGCGCTGAGCCGCTGAGATGCCCGGCATACATCCTCCCCGTTCAGCTGAGCAGCTTGAGGTTCTCCACGGGCTCATGCGTCTGCTCTCTGCGGTGCGGGTGCGCACGGCGGAGGGTGAAAGGCAAGGGGTCGAGGGGGCGAGGGAGCGAGGGAGGCGAGGACAGAGGAAGCAAAGCGCGTGCGGCGCACCCACAGCCGAGGTTGGTCAGCTTCTCGCTCAGGTTCTTGAGCCCCGCAACCGCCATGTCGTCCTGGTACTCAAAGATCTCGCCTATTCGATTTGCGATGAGGCTGTCGAGAGGCGCCCGACCGCCCCGCTCGCCGGCTTGCGCAACACCGTAGAACTCGGGGCCGTCCGACTGCAGGAAGACCTTGCTCCCGATGCGCCACACATCCTCCACCTCCTCGAGGTTCTCCACGGGCTCGTGCGTCGTCTCCCTGCACGGGCGGCGGTGTGGGACCGTGGCGAGGCTGCGGCGAGGCATGCCTGCGGCAGCGCTGCGTGCGGCGAGGGCGGCATCACCCGCAGCCGGAGTCCGCGAGCTTCTTTGAGAGGCAGTTCAGACCTGCTACAGCCCCGTCATCCTGAAACTCGAACACAACGCCGCGCAGTGCGCCGTTGTCCTTGAATCGGACCGCAGAGCCGACCAGGATCGGCATGAAATTTATCAGAGCTTGGATTTCGCTTGCAAGGGTGTAGGGATCCCTGCACTCCCGCGCTCGAGATCTTGCACTCACGGCCCACTCCCCGCGAGATCTTGAACTCATGGCCCACTCCCCGTCCCCCACTCCACATCAGGAGCGCGACAGCAAATGCCCGCCAAAAGAAATCCCAAGCGGGCAGCAAAAAGAAATTTTGCCCTCTTGGTTGTCTGTTTTCTTTCTTTCTCTTTTGTATTATCTTTTTCTTTCTTTTTGCTTGGGGTGCCCGCGCCGCCTAGCTCTGCGGACGGGCCCCTCCACCCTTCACGTACGGATTCATGTAGTCCCCACACTCGCTGTCGTGCGTCGTGGGATCGCTTGTCATGTGAGAGAGTGCGTTGTGTTCTTGTTTGGTATCCGCTTTCTCTCTTTGCTTTAAATCGCGAGGAGGGCGGAGTTGCGCCGAGAGGCGGGAGAAGCCGCGAGAGCAAGGGATCGGCAGGCGGCGGCGTCGTCGCAGAACGAGGCAGAGGAGAGTTACGAGACAGAGGGATGTGGGACAGAAGATGACGACACGTCGAGACGACACGCGCGAGCGACACACAGACACACAATCGGCGAGGGACTGCGAAGAGAGATAGGAAGAGGCAGACGCCCAAGGGTGGGCGACGGCTAGCACCACACTCCTCTCCTTAAAATCCTTCTTTCCCGCCTCCCCCTCTCTCTCTCTCTCCTGGACGGAGGGGAGAGGGGGGGCGGAGTGGTAGGGGGGGGGGGGGGGCCCGCCGGCCAACCGGTGGGCGATCCCAATCAAAAAAAGAAATAAATCCGGCGACCGGCCCGAACCGAAATTGGGCCTGACCCCCCTGTATGCCGGATCCCCCTTTCTGGGGG